GATCATAAAGTTGAAATTTAAGAAAATTCATAAAAAAGAAATCATAAGCCAGAATATCTTTGCCTTTCAAGCTATTTGCATCCACTTCTCATGGGAATTTCTCACAGAACAAATTACTCCCTATAGGTTAGTAAAGTCAACTTATTCTCACATAATTCACAGATGTTTAGAATACTTTTATTCAGCTATAAAAGAAAAGAGGCAATTAATACAGAAAAAGAATGACCTTGAAAATATCTGTTACATGGCAATGAGTAATATGCACTCTACCATGGTATCACAAGTAAACTAAACAGTATTTACACACACACACATACACACACACACATACACGCACACACACACACACACACATATATATATAAAATCAAAGTGCACATTATTATAAAAATTCACCATTGTTCATGAGAACTGAAATATCAAGTTTATGACAAATTTGTACACCCTTAAGCAGCCAGTAGGGTGAGGATAGAGACTGTTCTGATCATGCTCATGACACATTCATCCATAGAAAGATGGAGGTAGAGACAGCAAATCTTAAGGTAATGAGCTTCAGGAATGTTATTTACTTACTTAGAGTTCATAATGCACTGGCAATTTTTTTTTAAAAAAATTGCTTTTCAAGACAGGGTTTTTCCATGTGTAGTTCCAGCTTTCCCAGAATTCACTCTGTAGATCTGGCTGGCCTCAAACTCACAGAGATCTTCCTGTCTCTATGTCCCCAGTGCTGGTATTAAAGGCGAGCACTACTACTGCCTGGCTCTCACTTGTATATTTAAAAAATACACATGAGGAGGTGATGAAAGGCAATTAAGCAACCTGTGAGCCTTTAATTTCTTGTGGTCAAGTTCATCCTGAACTTTAAATAGTGTGTTACATATAACTGTCTAATAATTAACCCTATGATCAAATATAATTAAAACATGTTGAGTAGATTCTATTTTCTAGTATATCTTATTCACATAAATCAGGGAACTTAATGATAAAATAAGAAAATGAGAACAAATTACTGAATTATGCATGACATGCTATAATGAATATGACAACATGAGCTTCCAGAAATGCCTCTCAGTGTTATGTGTACTGCCATGATTGCTTAATTTATCAAAAATATTTCATAATAGCATTGCCTAGGAAATTTTCTACTGTTAGTTTATCCTACTTCATTTTTATGATGTGGGAACAACCTAAAAACAATAAAACCTTGTGTGGATCTACATACTAAAATGATAGCAACTTGATATACTGCTCAATATTGTGTTCAATTTCATTTAACCAGAAAATAAAACCTAATACTACAGACATTTAAAAATATCAGAGGGCTCTGGGGTTCTTTGCCAATATACTCTGGAAGGCATTATCACACTGAATTTATAAAGGCAAACACACAATTGCTTTCCAAAGTGATACAGTCCAACAATTAGTTATGGATGCTTTTGATTTCTGTGACGAAATCTTGAATTCTCTAGAGATCATGAGAAGTGTAAGTTCACACTCATTCTTAAAGGAATAATTTTTTAAATTATGCAAAATATGTATATATTTGCTTCTGTGTAGAGGTTTATGCATGCGAGTAAAGTGTTCTTGGAGACCAGAATGTGTCAAGTCCCCTGGAGGTGGAGTTAGAAGCAGTTGTGAGACAGATGACGCCGACACGGGTGGAAGACACAGAACTCATTATTCTCTGCAAGAGCCTAAGTTACTCTTAACCACTGAGTTGCCTCTGCAGCTCCCTTAAAAGAGAGAAATACAGCTCTGATAAGATGAAAATGAGTTGCTTAAGTGCTTTCAAGGAATGTACTGACAAATATATAGGTACATTATAACACTAGGTGAGCACCACAGAGCTAGCAAAATTCTCTAGTAGTTTCTTTCTAATAGCCATATACAGACTAACCACATGATGTCAAAATTTCAGTTAGATGACCAGCCATAAAATCTGGCATGACAGATCCTTGTGTCATACCTTGTTAACCAAGATATGATTGCCCAACCAGATTGTGCCAATACAGGAAATAGGTAGAGTACATATAGACAGTTCCGACTCTTGTCTGTCATCACCTTTCTTCTTCCAGCAGCACAAACACATCATTCTGCTTGGACACCAGCAGTAAGTAGCACTTCTTTATTTTAAGTTGAATCTCCTGATGCCAATGCATGTATAACTCAGCAGCAGCAAAGTGTTATAGTTAGTGATTGCACATCTGGATTGCTGTCAGAACCCTACTCATAATTTTATTGAGAAAAATTGTTATTATTTAATATTGTAAAGTTTAAGTATGCATGAATTCAGTAGCTTAATTTTTATCCTTGAAATGCTTTTTTTATGGAGATATGAGAATGAATCTTTTTATCCTAAAATCAGAAATTAGGTCTATGACTTTTCAAAGTAGTTGTATTAATGGCATCTTTACCAGAACTATGATTTATGAGTGCAGGGATTTTCCTGTGCAATGATGCAAATATTATTAGATTATGCATGCTAATGATTTCAAATGGGCAAAATCAGTATTATAGCACTGATCTTGAAATCAATGAGTTACTGCTGATCATCAGAAGAATATATAGTGGTCCCCAAAATACATTCAAGACAAGCAGAAAACAAAGCATTTCATTTTTCTGATCACAGGTGAATATACTGAGGTAGATTGTAGGTACTTAACATGTATAAATTATGTGTATGTTTTATATGAGAAAGCAGTTTCCCTCAAATATACTTGTGTTTGGGGCAGATAAGAAATGTTTCTGGAGAATATTATAATATTATTATACTACTTAATGTCAATAAAAAGGGAAGTACAATTGGAAAAGATTGTAATTTCAAGGGGCATTTATTGATGCTTTTCTACATGTGTTTATATGATGTACTCAGCTAGTTGATATCTGAACTTACAGTGCCTGCCAGTCTGGCTAAACTCTTGATGCTGGGTCAAAAGCAGACAAAGTTAGGATTAAGTGTCACTCCTGGCAGCTATAATAGATAATAGACTGGTCTATGGTAACTCTCAATCCTTGAGGTGAGACAGCTAATTTTACAAAAGGCAGGCACAAATTGCAGAAATGAGTGGCAGATTCCAAGTACTGTAGATCAGACACAGCTCACAATTCCAGTGCCACTGCTTAACAAGTTCAAGGAAACAACAACATTCCGTGTTAGAAAATGGAACAAAAAAAGAAGGCGTTTTAAGGAGTGTACAAGGCTGTTATTCTTACAAGATATTTGTCCAGATTGTGTCTATAATGACTTCTAGCTGTAGAATTTATGATCTGTGTTGACTGCTTCATAGTTCAGAGAAACATGACAAGGCAATCTGAGGGACGATTACATATTACATTGGAATATAGAAAATATTACAGCAGATACTCAGAGGAATGCGACTACTTGTCATATGATTCTTCCAGTAATGCACTCACCCCACGTACCTCTGCTGGGGATTTATTGACATATTTCCTTGTCTGCATAATCCCCTAGCACTGCAATCTCTGGCTTTCAGAAATGAAGGCGTTGCAGCCACAGAGACGGTGCCTAGGTTTCAGTTGTGCTACCTGAATTCCTATGACACCTCAGTATTAAACCTGTAACAATGAGATTGCTCATGTTTAAGTGGGATATTGAGTCACAGTATCTCCCTACTAGGTTTTTATGAGTTATAAACGAAGCCCATAGGGAGGCACATAATAAGTGCCACTAAACACAGTCTATATTATTTTGTGTGCCTAAGTTAGGGCAAAGTATGCAATGGAAAGTTTCATGAAAATTACCAAGTTATGCATTAAATCCATCTATTTCATAGACTTTATATTTATTGAAGAATAAGAAAAACTTTTTTTTCTGGTTAGGAGAAATCATTAAAGCAAGTTAAAGGCAATTTGTCTCTGTAGAGAATGCACTTGCTATGCAAGCACAATGGACAGAGTTTAAATCACCAGAACCCATGGAAAAACCAGATGAGTGTGCCTGCATGCTAATACTTTCAGTGCAGGCAGAAGGCAGAGACAGAGAATACCCAGAGCAAGCTGTGTAGGCAGACTAACAGAAATGGTGGGATCTGGGCTCCCTGACAAGGTAGAGAGCGATTGAGAACACCTAATGTCTTCCCTTGCATGTGTATACATATACTCTCATACTGGCACACATTCGAGTATATACATGAGTGTGTGTGTGTGTGTGTGTGTGTGTGTGTGTGTGTGTGTGTTTTACTTACTACCCTTAATAAGAGAATGTGTTCCAAATTATTTAAATGTTTTTCTTATTGTTGAACATGCCATTTATCATACATTTACCATATATGTGAAATATAATAATAAAAGTCTAAGATTTTTCAGGTTCAGTCCTGGAATTATGGACTAGACTTTGAGGGTATTAATCCACTGGACACATTAGCCAAGTTAAGGCCATTGGTTTAAAAATATGATAGTGTTGGGTGTGGTCATCTGTAGGTATGTCATAGCACTTCAGACTCTGAGGAAAGGTTGTAAGTTTGAAGCCAGTTGGGCTGTATAGTGAAAACCTGTCTAAAAACAAAAGAACAGAAAAACTTTTAGTAGGTGAATAACAAACAAGCGTAATAGAATGGAGTAGGCAGAGCTGAAAGTATCCAACAAGGGTTAATTATACCATATCGGTTCCCTGTCACAGTAATAGTTGGGAGCTTTTGTTACTATTGAAAGGACAGAGGAAGAATTCCTAAATTCCTAGAATCTGAAGAGGGGACCTACTGTGTCATAGGGGAGGAGAAGTTAATTTCCCAGAGCATTCATAGGTTCCTGCTTCGGGGGCTACAGTTCGGAACTTTGATTTTTTCTTATTGTACCAGCTGCCACCAGGCTCTTTGGGTTTATTTTATTAACATTTTGATGATATGAATAGCATGTTCTCCTTGTTATATTGAATGTGGGATATGGATCTCATTACTTCCTCCAGAACTTCTGTGTTACTCAGAAATCCATGTACTAACCATTATAATGCAGCTCCTTTTTCTCTTCTTTGTTTTCTAGACATGACCTTATTGCCATTGTTGTTGCTCCTGGCTGCTGCTCTGCCCCCATCCCTTCTTCACAATTACCTGGATTTTGTGGTAAGGTTGAGTATCTTCTCAGAACAATTTAGGCAAATATGAAGGCTAAGAGGCTACAAGATCACTCTTCAAAACTGTAAAAGGCCAGAATGTGGAATAAGTAAAAAATTACTCATTGATAGGTCAGAGCAGTTGACTTTATTTTAAAGCTGTGTTGAATAACCTTGTAGCCCTAACTACAGGTGAATATTAAACAGTGGTTAAATAAATCCTATATCTTAATGAAATTGGCATACATTTATAACCACAAAGTAGATATCAAAATTAGGGCTGGAGACAAATATAAAACATTTCATATCAATGACAATTAAATTGTATTTTTGCTATACCATTTTAAATATAAATATTGATGTTAATTTAAAATAATTTTTAACATGTTCCATAACTCTAAATTACACATGATATTTGAATAATATTTGTATTGGAATTTTCATGTTTGTGCTTTTATTTTATGAATCTTTCCATACCAAGCATTGTTATTATTTTAGTTAATCCATTTCAATATGGTTCTCATGGAAAACTCACATTTGTCTGACTTCATCTTGTACATTTTGTATATAACTTTCATAGATATTGTCTGAGAAAATTATATCTACACTTTCAATTTTAAAAGTTTGCTAGATTAAGTGAGGGTTGATGCTCAAGAACACTTGTCTAGAATGTACAAGTCCCTGGGTGTGATCCTCAGCAATGCACACAAACACACACACACACAAACACCCATAGATGTTAGAACATTTACTACTGTACAACAGTAATGAATAAATGTTTACACATGAATAAAATGTTAATATTTATAATATCTTCTTATGTGTAGACAATCCCAAATGAGACTCAGTCATTTTCTCTAATGATAGAGTGTGTAATACCAGTAGAGATGTTCTCCCTGTATTTACTAAAAGCATTTCTGTAGTCCTCATGCTCTTCTTTGGTCTCAGCATTAGAATCTACTAGAATTCCTCAAGAGTAAGGAGTGCCAGTAACTGGTTAAACTTGTTTTGAAAAATAAGTTGCATGTCTTTTGTTACGATAATCAAATTAGCAGTCTGGAGACTATTATCTAGGTGTTCATTCAAGTTGTTTTCATTCCCAGTTTCTTTCCTAAAATAATTGAATTTCGTGGCACTTTTGAACCATCTATTCCACTTCCCTTCCTCCCTTCCCCCTTCCATCTTTGGTCTTCTTGTATGTCTTAATAAATTTTCAGGGTCTGAATAGCAGGAAGATTCAGTGTCATCTTTTACGAATGAAGAGTTTTTTTGAGAGTTACCAAGGGCAACTGATTATTCTCCCGATGTCACATTTTATTATTCCTCTTGACTTTACTTTGTGGTGTTGGAATTAGGTTGTATTACCTATCTAATGTAAACCCTTTAACAGTTTATTCCCACTTCTCCTTGTTTCTAATATGTTTGTTTTTGAATCTGTTCTAGTGCCTGTTAAGAAAAATAAGCACACTTAACTGGTGGAATTTTTAACTACCATGGAAGGTAGTATAACAAGCAGAAAATAATAATGGCTTTCTCAGAAGCCATATATTTTGTCTTTAGAAATGAAACAACTGCCGGGTGTTGGTGGCACACGCCTTTAATCCCAGCACTCAGGAGGCAGAGGCAGGCAGATCTCTGTGAAAAAAAACCCCCTTGTAAAAAAAAAAAAAAAAAAAAAAAAAAAAAAGAAATGAAACAACTTTAAGTAGGGTTTTCAGGTAAAAATGGAATACCTGGGGCGAGGGACTGGAGAGACGGCTTGGGGGATAAGAGCATTTACTGCTCTTGCAGATGCCCTTTTGGTTCCTAGCATCCTCCTCAGGTAGCTTACATCCACCTGTAACTCCAATTCCACGGGACCTGATACTGTCTTTAGGCCTCCACTGGTACTGTACTCCTCTCCACAAACCCTACTTGATTACAAGCATGTACACTTAATTAAAATATATATTTTTAGAAAATGATGCCATCCCCTTAATAAATAAATATCTGGGGATATTGTTACTTTAATTTACATCAATGGCTACTAATATGTACATCCTTTCTGCCTTTGAAATAAGTATATCTGAGAGATCTCTTGCCACAAGACTGTTATTAGTGGCCTCAGAACATATAACATTAGGGAGAAATGGATGTGTGACAGAAAATTGAATGCAGTGTGATTAGATCCATCAGTGCAATGTCCCCAGAGTCTTGAGGGAAGTAAGTACTACAAGGAGAAACAACTTATCCTAGCAGTAAGATAAAATGCATGTGAGGGTCTGTCCATCAATAATTATGCTGTAATATCTTATTTTGCACTATAAAGCGGCACATTTTGGAGTTTGTTTCTACCAGCAAATGGCTCCTACACCTCTGCCAACTCACATCCACCTCACATCCACCTGTCCTGCACAAATGGAAAATATAAATATATAATTTATATAAATATAAATTTAAATATCAGCATCTCAGTTTACTAGGCAGTCTTATTTCTGTTCACTGAAATGTAAAGTCAGCAACTCAACTATGCTCAAGAACACATTGCCTCTAAACTGAGTTGGATATTTTATTAGATAAACTTGTTATGGGAATGAATGCAGAATCCTGTTACATATAAAATTCTCTTATTGTAATAGAATACTGAATGTACACATGTACTGGGTCTGGACCTACACATTATCCCACAAGCTTCCAAACTCCTGGTTAGGTGGCTTTCACCCACTTAGGTCTATAATAAATTACATGTTTCAACACTTTCTTGCTACAACCTAATTGAGTGTTAATGATTTCAGGTTCTCTACTGTATATGACTATTATTATAGGTCTCTTATAAAAATCGACCTTTGTAGCCTCAGAAGAGTTTTTACCTTGTCTTGCCATGAATTCATTCTTATTCTCAAAATTTCTGTATAAAGTGTTCCTTAATGAAAATGTCATAGATTTTTCTTAACATGGATTAATGACTACTGTGGTCATGAGTATTTAAAAAATGACCTTCTTTCACCTTAGTCTACCTATTCACCATTTTACGAAATCTTAACATACACTGACATGACTTTAATTTTGTATCTCTTCAGATTGAAAGTCTTGACGATTTGTCAACTGCCAGAGATTCAATCCGAGAAGAGATTGTAAACAAGCACAATGAACTGAGAAAAATGGTTTCTCCACCCGCTAGTGACTTACTAATGATGGTGAGGGGCCACACTGGGACAGCACATTTGGAGAGCTGTGTTTGGAGCCTCCTGATAACATCTAGCTTCTCCAGTGTCCTTTAAGAGGGTCTATGTCTATTCTAGCATTCCTTTTTTTTTAAAGCATAAGTATTCATTATTTTGTTTATGTGCTGTGTTTCTGCGTGTGAGTGTGTATCCACATACTAAGGCATGCACGTAGAGATCAGAATTGGTTCTCTTCTTCTTTATCTTTTGCTGTGCTATGATGAGAGTAGGATTTATTCAATTTCTTTTATAACAGTGACTCATTGGTATTATGGAACTCTATCAGTTATAGTGACAGAACTATCAAATCTTGTGACTTTGGTCTCCAGTGAAAAGCCACCTTGTTATTTTGGCTCACTCTTCTCTCTCTTAATCTAGGGCCAGAACATCTCTCCTCCTTTAAGGTCCATGTGTCCCTTAAGTTCTTTCAATGGAGAAAAATTAAGCTAGTATTTATGAGGTGACTTCTTATGGCTATAAAAACAGTCTTAGTACTTCCACATGGTTAGTGAAACTAGTAGTACAGCAATTACTCAAAGTCTTAAGTACTTATATTTCTTTAGTATAGAAATGACCATATATAAGTGGGAGTAACTTCTGACATAGGTTATGAAAACACTAAGGAGATCATGAGATGGGAGAAAGGGACTGTAGACAGTGTGGAAAGGGCAAGGAAATGGAACATGTGTGACATCAGAGGGAGGCTATGGGTGGAAAGGCATGCATGGGAGGATGGGCAGGATTAAGAAAATATGCAAAATAAACTTATTTATAAATGTTGCAATGAAAGTTGGTAATATATACGCTAAAATAAAAATTTAGATATATACCATATTCTAATTGATTATGATGAAAATCAAAAGATGCCTACAGAAATTTTGTAATGATATAAACTAGTCATATCAGCCTGTCTGCAAAAGATCATGTGACTGAGGTTCTTCCTTGCCTTTCCCCTTTAGCAATGGAGCAATGATGCCCAAGAGAATGCACAGAAATGGGCAAGCCAGTGCACTTTCCAACATAGTCCTCGAGAAGACAGAAAAATAAAAAGTATGTAAAGTCAAAATCACTTACAAATAAATGGAGACTAACACAGGAAAGCCCAGTTTCTGATATTGTGCTAACAAAATGTTGTAAATAAACACCTATTCTGATACTGCCCTTTTTAAAAAAGTTTAATATCTCTGGGGCAGAGATGGCTCTGAAAGGCTCCACATGGTGCCTATTGGATATTTTATATTTTACACAAACTGTCTTTCATGATGACATCTGTGAGTATTGCAACCAGATCTCAAGTGAAAGAGATATGGATTATCACTTTCCCTGCTTTAAAGATTAAAATATATAGATTTATGAAAATTAAGACTGAGCTAACAGATGAGAATCCTAATCATTGGCCAAGCAGCTTTGAACCAAAAAAAAAAAAATTAGAAACTGAAATCTGGATGAAAATAATTACTAATTAAGGTCACATAAAGAATTTCTTTTTTATTTTACTCTGTTATTTTTTATTTATGTGTATGTTTGTCTCTGTGTATTTATGGACATGTACATGTATGTGAGAGTGCTTCTAGAGTCCAAAAGAAGGCAGTAGACCCTTAGAGGCTACAGGTGATTGTTACAGTGTTGTCACAGGTGGTTGTAAGATGCTCTGTATGGATGCTAGGAATTGGATTCAAGTCTGTTGATCCCCTTACATGCTCAGACATGTTTTCAGGCCTCGGAATTTGGAATTTCTATCAGATAAGTCAGTATCTTATCTTATGATGTGGCTTGTTTGTGTTCACAAGCTATCTTTTTTATTGTAAAAATATATTTAATTTGATCAACTAATTTCATTTTATCAAGAAATCTTAAATATCTTGGCATTTCCATTTACTACTTCCCTTATAATTTTTAGTGGAGAGGAGACAGGCCTTACTGTATAGTCCAGGTTATCTTCAAATTTCTGGTCTTCCAATCTCAGCTTCCTATGTCCTGGGACTTTGTAAGCCACCAATATGTGTCTGCCATGCTCTTCCTTGGTGAGATCAACTTATGTATAGTCTGAGTGCCTTAAAGGTATATTATGTAAAGTTAAAAATAACATTGAAACATAATATTTACATAAGGAAGTGTAAAAATGATGACAAAATAAATAATGGACCATGAGATAAAATATTTCTTGAGATATTAAAAATAATTACCTTTGGCCCAATTTGAGTCTAATAAATTAATTATCATTTTCAAGGTTTTACCTCTTATATATTTCTAATTTAATAGCATAATGATTAAAAATTTATTTTAAAGACTACAATATGCAGTTAAAGTTTAAAGATTTTTTTTACAGAGCTTGATAAAAATACTAAATTATTTGAGGGGGGTTTAAAATATGGTTTCCCCATTCCCTGAAGAAAAATTGGCCTGTAAAATTTTAATTATCAAAATAAGACATGACCTTTGTAAATATACTCCCCTCTGTCTTTGTTTGTTTTGTACTTATACTTTTAAAAGTATGGCTGTAAAGAATGCTCACATAGACCAATAATCCTAAGTGTGTAAAAATTTTTATATGAAAACTCTAGCTAGTGCAGGAGAGAAATGAAAGGAGTCAGTCTTTGTCTTCTCTAATACTGTGAATCCACATTTGACACACATGAGGCACACACACACACACACACACACACACACACACACACACACAAACAGGTGCACACTGTGTGGAGAATTTAATGTGTGAATGAATGAGTTCAAGGAAAGAAGATACTGAGGCAAAGATTTTGTTGTCTACTTAGTGCTTATAGTATTCAGCACACATATGTTGAATACCTATGGCTACTCTTCAGCTGAAGGTTCATCAGTGATGAATCATGTGTCTTATAAATATTCAGAAGCAACTGTGAACTTTAAAGAGCAAGGATTCTGCATGTGTGCATGTGTGTGTGGTGTCTGTTGTGTGTAGTGTGTGTTGTGTGTGTGTGTGTGTGTGTGTGTGTGTGTGTGTGTGTGCACGTGCTTATGTGTTCCTCTTTTTTCCTTATTGCTGTCTTCATGAGTGGCCTATCTTTTTCCTTAGACTTAGCATGTGGTGAGAATCTCTTCATGTCAGATTATCTAACATCATGGTCTTCAGCAGTCCAACAATGGTATGATGAAGTCCATAGTTTCGACTTTGGTTCAGGCCCCACATCATCTTCAGCAGTAGTTGGACATTATACTCAGGTAAGAAAAGGTACTCTAGATAAGTGATAGGCAGGAAAATATTTTAAATTACTTGGCAGATTTCAAAAACAGAATTTCAGTGCAGAGAACTTTTGTTTTCTTTTTCACACAGGTTCTGGTTATGTAGCCCAGACTGACTTTGGACTTTCTATTTTCTATCAGTCTCCCAATTTCAGGGACGATAGAGAGAACACACCAGCCATACACACTTGGGAATGGTTTTGAGTGGTTGGTTGTAAATTGGTCTTCACAATTATTGGCTATTTGAGCTGACTTCTTTCAACGGCTTCTCTAATTGTTATGAGTAAATATACTTGATGTTTCTTCTAACTCTAATCTCTTGCTCCTGTCCCCAAACAACGGTGTTTGTGTTCTAAGGCACCAATGCAGAGTTTACTTGGGCTGCACATCAGCATTGTGTGGCTCCTGAGGGAAAAGGGGAAGTTAACTCCTGGAGTTTGTTACCAGAAACCCTGCCAGGTGGCTTCCTGATGGACCTAAAGCCCAGGCCCAGGGCCCTTTCCTGTCAAATAAGGTGACTCTTATAGCAAGAATTATAGGACTGTAGCTCCATCCTGTCCACTGTCAAGGGTCTATCAAGCATAGAAGAGAATGTGATGTGGGGATCCTGCTTGGCTTGATGGAGAGTATATCAAGAAATGGTATAGGCAGGGGGCAACTCCAAATCCATGGCTTGATCAGATCCTGCAGTCCGAGAGACTTGAGCTGAAAGACAGTTTCAGGAGGGAACCAGGAAATACAAGGCTCTATATCTGAGCTCTCACCACATACAACATCTAGGAAATATGCATTGTTTCTGAGTGGCAGCATTCCACTAGGCTGGACCTGCAAGGTTTGCAAGCCACCCAGTATCTTTGCCCACTAGAAGGAAGATACTCATGGCCATGGCTTAGCATCAATTTAAATAGCGTCTTCTCTGAAGCCAGGAGGACTTTATGGTTCATTTTCCAAAGTCAGGGTTTTATGGACACAGGACACTTGTTTTTGCAAAAACACTTCAGTGTACTTATCAGAATGGTAGTCACCAGCAACACAATGGTCAATTTGATGTCTGACCAGGAATTGACCTGATATCCAGACGACCCTCTTGCTGTTTATTGTCACATGACTGTAGAGTTTTAAGCAAGGTTAGAGATATTTTACATCCATCCATAGATCTTTTGATTATCTTTCATTTTGACACAAAGCTCCTTGACCTCAGCCCAGGCTTCTGCCTCCTCATCATTTTGGGAACTGAAACATGTTAAAGAAGAATAATAGCTTCTCTGAGATGGGGCTGAAGCACTGTCAGCCTCCATAAACTTCACTTTGTAATCCTTACAGTTTTACCAGACTAGCTGACCAACAGGACCCACTTAGGGATATTTTAACATCTGTAGTTTGATTCAATGATTCAAGTATGCCCAAAAGCATATATAGAAACAAAGCATTCCAGTGGTGTTTTAAATTTTATATTCTCTATTTGTTTGTCTCCATTATTTTCCCCTCTGACATGTGCCCTGCCTTTGTCTCTGGGTTTATAGTTGGTATGGAACACATCTTACCTAGTTGCATGTGGAATTGCTGAGTGCCGTGATCAATCGTGGAGATACCTCTACGTTTGTCAATATTGTCCTCCGTAAGTATCCACTTCAAAGTTCATTTTCAAATGCAACTTGACATTTTTAATTATTATAGTAAAAATATATATTAAAGATATATTTTACACATGGGGAGGGAAATAAAAACCTTTAAATATTTCTTAAATATTTAAAATATTTAAAAACATATTTAATAAATCTTTGAAATGTCTAATTCATCAGTTCCATGAATCACACTCAGAATCTTTTCACTTATCCCCAAAAATGCATTCTCTTCCCTCCTCAATTGCTGTTTTCTTGACTAATGGTCACCCCACAAGTATGCCACATACAGGGATTGTGAGATTCCATATTGTTAGTTTGTGCTATGTTTGTAGGCCACAAAGCAAACTTTTAATATTAGACCAGAAGAGAACCTGAATGAATGATGCAGGTTACTGATTGTGGGACTTCTAATTAAATTGATATAAGTGGTCAGATCTCCTTTTTAAATTTTATTGCTGAGTGGCATAAGAGGTTTACACTGTTAATCCCAGCACTTGGGAGATGAGACAGTCATATTTCTGAGAATTCATGGCCAGTGAGGGCAACACAAATTATCCCTGTCTCAAAATTCCCCCCAAAATCATTTTATTTTTTGAGAATTTGATAGAGGAGTACTGTATTCCCATCATTTCCACACTTTCTTCTCCTGCTCCAAATCACCTTACCCCATGATCCCTGTCAAATTCATGATCTCATCCACATTACATAATATGCACACACATAATACCACTAAGTCCATTTCCTGTTGCTCTTACGTGCAAGTGTTTAGGGTAGAATACTAGGGACTGGATAACTTACCATGAGTCTCCTTCCTGAAGAAAACTGATTCTTCCTTTTTTAACACCCATAGATTACCCATAGCTCCTCATCCAGGGCAATACAGCCTTTTGCCGTCACCCTTGTTTGCCTTTCTGAACTTGAAAATAAGAACCTATTGCTAAAAACTTCACCAGCTTCAGACACAGGCCTTGGAGGAATAGAGCTAGAATTCACCTGGAAGCCTCCTTCCTGCAGCTCTCCTATTATTAGAAGATGCTATGTAAGCTGCCAAGGGAGAAAATAATCAACAGTTATATCTTTCTATAAAACCGTAACAATGACTAGCCAAGTTGCTATTATTCCAATATTAATTTTTGTGCTTTTTTTGAGACAGGGCTTTTCTATATTGCTTTGGAGCCTGTCCTGGAACTCACTTTGTAGACCAGGCTGACCTTGAACTCACTGAGATCCGCCTGTCTCTGCCTCTCGAGTGCTGGGATCAAAGGAGTGCACCACCAACACCCGGCTGTTGCTTTGTTTATGCATGTACACATACACACCTCTAAAAGGCCACAAAAGGGCATTGAATCCCATAGACCTGAACTTTAAAGGTGGTTATGACTTATTTCACATGGTTGTTAATCAATTTTGGATCCTGTGCAATCACAGCAAAAGTTCTTAACCATTGAGCCATCTTTCCAGCCATACGTTGCTAACTTATACCTAGAAGTATTTATAGAATAGTAGACTTCAAAGACTCTATGAGATTTCCTTAATCTATTTCAAACATTAAGAAAGCTAAAATCTTAACTCTTTTCTCCTCAGAATTTACTGAAAATTTCTGAAAAACCCATTCACTAGAACATGATTTTAAAGCCAGAAATTCACTTCCCTTCTATGCTCTGTACTTGAGGTCTTTAAAAAAATTGTCATGAAAATGAATATGTATTCATAATCTGTCAGCCTAATTTTTCTTTCAAATATTTTAATTACATCTACATGTATGTTTGTCCATGTGTGGGTATGTTCAGATAGGTGCAGATGCCTGTGGAGACCAGAGGTATCAAATCCCATGAAACTGCAATTACAAACAAACTTGGGAACCAAACCCAAGTCTTCTAAAAGAGGATTGTGCTATCTTAACTCCTGAGACATCTCTACAACTCGATTTACATCTTTTAAATACAAGAAACTTATATAACATAAGGTTGAGAGTCTTTTCAAACCAAGCCTTTCAAATGATTCATTTCTAATCTGTCTCTGGGTAGCACTGAGGGTGTGGCATCTCAGTTGAAAAGTATGGTCCTCAAGGGATTTTCAAGCTACCTAGTCAAATAAGAGGAATCTGGAGCTTGGCACCTAGAAGTGTCAGATGAGTAATGAAGAGAAGCAATTGACAGAACTTGTACAACACTTTGACTTTTTCACTTTCAAGATTTCTCATACACATAGAGCTGTGTTCCACATATAGAGGAGAGGTTCTGTTAAAATCCTTGGAGATTGCCCACACACCCTTGCCATCCTTAGTGCAATGGGCAATCTGACTTCTCTATTTTCTTATGACAGTAGTGAAGTGATGATCCTACTGAAGCAGGGGTAGTCACTATTAGAGTATTCACTCTTCAGATGGCTTTTATAAATAGTTTTTTCTAATTATCATTTTCATTTTTGATAAGCTTAAAGGCTTATATCCACATGCTATCTTCAGAAAACCCTAAACTTTCCTAAGCACGGGGTCTTTCATAATTATACACTTAAATTCTTGACCCTCACCAGGTCATCATGGGGACCTCTTCCATATGAAAGGTATCACAGCATTTCCTGCAGTTAACTTTCTCTATAGAAAACATCTTTTATACCTAACCAGCATCCTGTGCTGCACTGTCTTATCAATTTTCTGGGTTCATCAAGAAACGAAGAAAGTGTTTCAACATTAAAAGATTTCTTTCTAAGCTTTATATTCTTATTTAAACTCTTTCAATTGCTCAGGTTCTGAGATGATAGTTGAGGGAGTGAATGGATTATCTCCTTATTTCATATCTATATCTGAATACTATTAGCAAGTGGTAGGCTTTTGGGTGTATGTATGTGTGTGTATAATATGCAAGTATTAGAGTGTACAAAGAAAAATAAAAATATTTGATTTTTGCATTTCAATTTCAGTGGTAATTATGTAAGAAGGAAATACATCCCTTACACAATAGGAGATCCATGTGGCAGTTGTCCTAATGACTGTGAAGATGGACTGTGCAGTAAGTTATTCAGATACAAATAGAATTACATGAAATGGCAATCTGTTTGAAATTTAATAGCAGGGCTTTATATTTCAAGAGACAAAAATGTATTTAACATCATTTTTTTTCAATTACAAGTTTTCCTTTGTTTAGGATGTATGCATGTGCTTTTGACATTAAAAAGCATGACACTTTATCTAGTCTAAAGAAATATCTGAAATCAGTGCATATTTGTAGCAATACTGGTATTATTGCCATTGGAATCTACAGAAATATTTCTATGGATGTAATTCACTAAAAGTTAAAGTGAATTTTCTTGTCCTCAAGGCTAATACAATCTTAGGGTTGGCAATTTAAGAAGAGAAAGCAATACAAATCCAAGTAGTTGAGATAATAGAACACACACAGGTCAGTCCACACAAGGAAGACAATTACTACAATTCTTTCCCCACCAAGGAACTTAGCACAATAAAATTCTAAGCTCCCCCAGAACATCACTTGAATTTTCTGTTACATTTTGTTTCTTTGTGAATGTGTATTTGTGTCCCCCTGTATATGTACAGGCACATGTATATGTGCCCTGACATCTGTGTAGTTGTCTGTTGAGGTGAAACGACAACTTGTATGAATTGGGGTTCTCTCCTTCCATGATACAGGTGTGAGAGATTGGCCTCAAGTAGCTTAGTGACAAGGACCTTTAACTTGAGCCATCTCACTGGTCCTTGGTCATCATTTGAGTCCTTCCACTTAATCATCAATTACATGTTTTTTTTTTTTGTTTTTTTTTTTCAATTTTATGTGTACTAAGTAAAATCCACACATATTATTAGTTCACTAAAAGCTTAGTATTTCATCAAAGATAGGAAGTAAAATGAATGCCATAGTATCTCATTTTTAGTATCATTATAGATATAAATACAAAAAATAAATGTAATCCCAACATCCCAGAGGCAGAGGAAGGAAAATCATGAGTTCAAACTCAGGTTGGAGTACTGATCACACTCTAGGTCAGCCTGAGATACATAAAGGAACTGTAATATCAGTAAGGTGTTTATAAAAATGGAATATAGTATTAAAATTAATGTGGAAAATTCTGGTGCCAATTCGCTGGAATTTTTGTGTATTCTCCAGTGAGTTATAGAATTCTTTTTTTTTTTACTTTTTATTTAAAATAGGAACAAGCTTGTTTTACATATCCATCCCAGTTCCCTCTCCCTCCCCTCCTCTCCTTCCCTCTATTGACCCCCTTATTCCATCCCCTTTCTGCTTCCGAGGGAGGGTGAGGCCTTCCGTGGGGATCTTCAAAATCTGTCATATCATTTGGAGCAGGGCCTAGACCAGTTCCCCTGTGTCTAGCCTGAGAGAGCATCCCTAATCTCTAAGGGCTCCCATAGTTCATTCATGTACTAGGGATAAATACTGACCCACTGTCAGAGGCACCACCAACTGTCAGGTCTCCCTACTGACACCTATTTCAGGGTCTGTGTTGGCCTATGCTGGTTTCCCAGCTATCAGTCTGGGGTCCATGAGTTCCCCCTTGTTCAGGTCAGCTGTTTCTGTGGGTCTCTCCAGCCTGGTCTTGACCCCTTTGCTCATCACTCCTCCCTTTCTGCAACTGGACTCCAGGAGTTCAGCTCAGTGCCCAATTGTGGGTATCGAGTTACAGAATTCTTTATTGTGTATTTGTATAGATAATCTTCAGAGTAGATTATATCTTAATTAATATCAGTAGATTAATATCTTAATGATATTAAGATTATAATCTTAAAAAGAAAGAGCCAAATAGTCACAGGTTTGCTGAATGTTCTTTTAAAGGAGTCTATTTTATCAATAACAGCCAACTGAAAGACTATAAACAGAAATAGAAAGGAAAAGATCCTTATTTTCATTGCAGCATTTTTACATTTACTTATTTTTGGTGTAGGCTGTTGCTAGTTTTGAAACAGGGTCTCACTACATAACCAAAGTGCACTACTCATTATGTGGTCTAGTGTGACCTCAATCCCCTGATCTTGCTGTATCCATTTGCCAGGTGTTATGGAAGTTGTATCTTCCATAGAGCTCTTAGAAAAAGCATGATGAAAAATCCAGCAAGTAGGAAGAGATTCAAAACTAGTCATTTTTCTGTTATTAATGGAAAAGTTATGAAAATGTGATACAGAAAGAGGATGTGGAATAATAAATACCTTTTTGTTAACTGTTTTGTTTAGTGCTGATGAATATATACATATATATATATATGGAGAGGTGCAGATGTCAAAAAGGCCTTGTGCACACAGAAAACCCCTGGAGAAGCTAGGAAAGTTAAACACATAGCTTATCTCTTCAATGGAATGAGATGCACAGCTGCTCTTTCTGGACTGTCAGGAATGATGATTTACAACCTGGTGATCTTTTGCTGTCTGATGAGCCAGGCTCTGCTGCATCTCCCAGAATTTCTGTTTTACTTATCACAGATTCTATATCTGTAAATCTTGATCATTGATTTTAGGTCCTAACCCTATTCTTACCAGTGATGTCACTTGTGCTTTACAACAGCCTAAGTGACTTCTGTGTTATCTTAGGGTCAGGCCAATTCTGGCACCCAAAGGTGTTATGTTTACCTCAGTCATTTCCTTAAACCCCAAATCTTAGACACTGTCTCTGAGCCAACAGTACCCATCCTTATAAAAGAAGACAAATGTGCTTTAGAAAGACTCTCAGTGTGAACATGTCTTAAATTGCTGTGTCCTTGGGACTGAGTTCATTGTCATCAGAAAAAAAAATTCCCAAAATAAGGCTAAAATAAAATGATCTGGGTAAAACTCCAGAAGTCCTGACCCTGCTCCTGTTAGAATAAAATTGGGCTGAGTTTTATTCTTCTCTCTTTAAGGATCTTTTGTTGTTGTTGTTTTGCTGTTGTTTTTTGTTGGTTTCTTTGTTTGTTGCCCCTACTGGCCATAAAGCCTCAGAGAACCACCTCGCAGAGGGAAAGAGGACTAGCCATGTGCCCATAGTGGTGCTTTTCTCAAGGTGGAATTGGCAGGGTTACAAGATTGTATGGACTTGACTCTAGCCTGGATAACACAATGAAACACTGTGTCAATAAAAAATACTAAAAATATAAAAGATACACATGTTCTTTTTTCATAATTATGAGTAATGAATTCTCTGAGACTGGGTGAGGTGAATGTAGGTTCATGAGTGGGAGACACACATCAAAGACATGAGAAGGATTGAGTGAATTTTCTTGAGTACTGGTGGACCTTTGACTTCAAACAATTAATAATCAGAACAATATTCTCCACACCTATTTTCTCAAGCCTCTGTCTTCATAAGATTACATCATCTGGTTTGAGAGACAGAATCAAATTCTAGGCCAGTCATGAGCAACAGAATATTCTGGAATGATGTAATACTCAATATTTTCACACAAGAACTCTGTTAGACCCAGTAGCTATAGAACATAGTAATAAAACTTGTTTTTCTGAGAATACAGCTAAATATTAACTGTATTTAAGTTTAAAAGGTACTTGCATAATGAATGGCATTTTGAATAGTAAGGTTCTTTTTTGATATTTGTCTTTATTTTATGCTTATAAATTTTAGTGTTCCCATATGTGTACATATTTATGCACACCACATTTGGGCCCCAGGACAACGAGGGACAGACAAGGTATTGAGTCCCATAGAATTGAAGTTACAGGTGGTCTTAAATCACCACGTGGATGCCAAAAATCAAAAAGAGCTCTTCAAAAAGAGTAAGAACTTTTAATCACAGAGCCATCTTTCTAGTCTCTAGATAGTTCAGTTCCTCAAAGAATCACTCCAGTTAATTTTCTTATGCCTTTTGTGGGTGAAGAGATGCATCAGTTCATCTCAAAGACATCTCACAAAGCTCTAATGTAAAGAACATCTATTCATTTGCTCAATGCCATTGTCCCAATTCATGTTTTGTTTGTCACTGTTAATAGAGGAAATAATAACAAAGTAATGAATGTCTTTGTTCTTCTTTTCAGCAAATAGTTGTGGATATCAAGATGATTATTCTAACTGTGGAGATTTAAAGGCATCAGTAACCTGTAAACATCCAATGGTGAAAGAACACTGCAAAGCTACATGCAACTGTGAAGGCAAAATTCACTAAATTTTGAGTACACATGAACAGGGCCTTGAGAAGAAAGAGCACCTCTTCTACTTAGGTTTGCCACATTCCACCAGGAAATTATAGGTATAAGTACACTCAAATGATTCCAAACAGCAAAGATTCCATTCTTCTACACTGTCCCATTTAGCAGAAATAATTTATCGTCAAAGATTTCAAAATAACAAAATCAATAATACCTTTTGTGCTTGACCTCTGAATTCTGTGACAAATTTATGGAGTTGAATCAAGCCAGAGATTATGCATCATTTGTCTGTGTGACTAAGGTCACTAAAACTCTGTCTTGAAAATAGGAATCAGAGCACAAAACACAGCACATGCTTACAATGTAACTGTCAGTCATCTTTCCTAGCTCTACCTAGTTAACGCTCTCCATAAACAAATCTACATTAGCTTTCTTTGATTTCTTTTCATCATTCACTCTTCTTCACATTCCTCAGAATTAGTGGTTCAAACTCTAAACTTCAATTTACATTTAATTGTTGGGTTTTCCAAGCACCTTATTAAAATGTAAGTTAATGAACAGTATTTGCTTGTTCAGATGACTCCATTGGCCTTGGTAGCTGTTAAAAATTTAAATAAATCTTAATATTTGCATATTAACCCTCACCTAGTACTTGTCTAAACTGGTGATTTGGGGTTTATTTATTCCAGTATGGTACTACAATACTTTCGATAGCGCTTACTTAATTTTTATTTACATTGAGGTTCTTAGCCTTCACAATAGTTTGCAATAATCAGTGAACATCTCAAATAATAATCAATAGTGGAGTTCAGTTTGACAAATAATCCTGAATATAGCCTGTCATGCCATATCACAACTCAGTCCTAATCAAGATCATTTATTCTCTATGCTCACACAGATTGGTGAGCACCATGAACTCAAAATCAACTGCATATTCCCAACCTTAAGAACTTGTATTTACAGGAATAGCTCTGGCAACCTAGAATCTATCATTATACAAATAACCAATGAAAGAAATCCACATTTCCTGGTCTCATTGCAAAAACATAATATATAAGTCCCAGCAGTATGACCCTGACCTACCAAATCCACTAGCTTTTTAATTTTTTTATTTTAATTAGAAAGAAGATTATTTTACATGTCAATCCCAGGGCCCTCTCCATTCCCTCCTCCCGTGCCCCACCAAAACTAACACCCTACCTATCCCATACTCTTTCTGCTTCCCAGGGAGGGTGGGGCCTTCCATAGGGGGTCTTTAGAGTCTGTCATATTATTTGGGATAGGGCCTAGGCCCACCCCCTTGTGTCTAGGCTCAGGGAGAATCCCTCTATGTGGGATGGGCTCCCAAAGTCCATTCCTTTGCTAAGAATAAATACTGATCCACTACAAGGAGCACCATAGATTTCCCAGGTCTCCTCAATGACACCCATATTCAGGGGGTATGGATCAGTCCAATGCTGGTTTCCCAGCTATCAGTCTGGGGACCAAGAGCTCTCCCTTGTTCAGGTCAGCTGTTTCTCTGGGTTTCACCATCCTGGTATGGACCCCTTTGCTCATCAGTCTGCCTTCTCTGCTACTGGATTTCAGTTCAGTTCAAGGTTTAGCTGTGGGTGTCTGCTTCTACTTCCACCAGCTGCTGGATGAAGGCTATAGGATGGCATATAAATAAGTCATCAATCTCATTATCAGGGGAGGGCATTTAAGGTAGCTTCTCCTCTGTTGCTTAGATTTTGAATTGGTGTCATCTTTGTAGCTCTCCAGACATTTCCCTAGTGCCAGATTTCTCTTTAAAACTATAATGTTTTTATTATACTCTATTATAGTATCTCTTATCATACTCTCTTCTTCCCCCAACTCAAACCCCCTACCCCATCATGTCCTCACCCCTCCTCTTCTCCCCTTCGCATTCTCCTAGTTAACTCTCCCCTCCTCCCATGCTCCCAATTTGCTCAGGAGATCTTGTCCCTTTCCCCTTCTCTGGGGGACCATGTATGTCTCTCTTAGGGTCCTCCATGTTTTCTACCTTCTCTGGCAGTGTGGATTGTAGGCTGATAAATCATTTACTTTAGGTCTAAAATCCACATAAGAGTGAGAACATATCATGTTTGTCTTTTTGTGACTGGGTTACCTCACTCAGAATGGTTTCTTCTAGTTCCATCCATTTGCCTGCCAATTTCAAGATTCCATCCCCGCGCCCCGCTGAGTAGTACCCCATTGTGTAAATGTACCACATTTTCTCTATCCATTCTTCAGTTGAGGGCCTCTAGTTTGCTTCCATGTTCTGGCTGTTACAAATAATGCTTCGATGAACATTGATGAACAGATGACTTATTTTGGGTATATGCCTAAGGGTGGATCTTGTGATAGACTGATTCCCATTTTCCTGAGGAATTGCCATACTGGTTTCCAAAGAGCTGTACGAGTTGGTACTTACACCAGCATTGGAGAAGTGTTCCCCTGTTTCCACATCCTCTACAGCATAAACTGTCATTGGTGTTTTTGATTTTAGCCATTCTGACAGGTGTAAGATGGCATCTCAGAGTTGTTTTGATTAGTATTTCCCTGATATCTAAGGATGTTGAACACTTTCTTATGTCTCTTTCAGCCATTTTAGATTCCTCTATTGAGAATTGTCTATTGAGTTCTGTACTCCACTTTTTAATTGGATTATTCAGTGTTTTAGAGACTAGCTTCTTGAGTTCTTTATAAATTTTGGAGATCAGCCCTCTGTCGGATGAGGGGTTGGTGAATATCTTTTCCCAATCTGTTGGCTGTCGTTTTGTCTTGTTGACAGTGTCCTTTGCCTTACAGAAGCTTCTCGGTTTCAGGAGGTCCCTTTTATCAATTGTTGATCTCAGTGTCTGTGCTACTGCTATAATGTTCAGGAAGTGGTTTCATGTACCAATTTGTTCAAGGGTATTTCTTACTTTCTTTTTTAATAATTTGAGTATGGCTGGATTTATGTTGATTTCTTTGATCCATTTGGACTTAAGCTTTGTGCATGGTGATAGACAAGGATCTATCTGCAGTCTTCTACCTGCCAGCATCCAATAATGCCAGCACAACTTGTTGAAGATGCTTTCTTTATTCCATTCTATAGCTTTAGCTTCTTTGTCAAAAATCAGGTGTTTGTAGGTGTGCAGGCTATTATCAGGGTTTTCAACTCAATTCCATTGATTTGCCTGTCTATTTTTGTGCCAATACTAGGCTGTTTTCAGGACTATAGCTCTATAATAGAGCTTGAAATCAGGGATGGCGATGCCCCAAGGAATTCTTTTATTGTACAGTGTCGTTTTGGCTATCCTGGATCTTTTGTTTTTCCATATAAAGTTGAGAATTGTTCTTTCAATGTCTGTGAAGAAATGTGCTGGGATTTTGATGGGGATTGCATTGAATCTGTAGATTGCTTTTGGCAAGATTGCTATTTTTACTATGTTGATCCTACCTATTCAAGAACATAGGAGATCCTTCCATTTTCTGCTATCTTCTTTAATTTCTTTTTTTAAGGACTCAAAATTCTAATGATACAGATTTTTGACTTTTTTTGGTTAGTGTTACCCTACAGTATTTTATGCTGTTTGTAAAGGGTGATGTTTCTCTGATTTCTTTCTCAGGACATTTATCATCTACATATAGTAGGGCTACTGATTTTATTTTAGTTAATCTTGCATACTCCCACTTTGCTGAAGGTGTGTATCAGCTGAAGGAGTTCCCTGGTATAGTTCTTTGGTTCAATTATGTAGACTATATTATCATCTGCAAACAGTGAAAGCTTGACTTCTTCCTTTCTAATTTGTATCCCCTTGATCTCCTTTTGTTGTCTTATTGCTCTAGCTAGAACTTCAAGGACAATATTGAAGAGATATGGAGAGAGTGGCCAGCCTTGACTTGTGCATGATTTTAGAGGAATCCTTTTGAGTTTCTCTCCATTTGGTTTGATGTTGGCTGCTAGTTTACTGTATATAGCTTATGTTATGTTCAGGTATGTTCCTATTATCCCTGATCTCTCCAGGACATTTATCATGAAGGGGTATTGGATTTTGTCAAAGGCATTTTCAGCATCTAGTGAGATGATCATATGGTTTTTCTTTTTCAGTTTGTTTATTTTTTGCAGATTTTTTAATTTGAATTTGTAACAGGATTGTTTTCCATGTCAATCCCTATTCCCTCTCCCTTCCTCCCTTACCACCTCCCCCAACTAAAACCCTACCTATCACATATCCTTTTTGCTCCCCAGGGAGTGTGAGACCTTCCATAGGGGGTCATCAGAGTCTTTCATATCCTTTGGGATAGGGCCCAGGCCTATCCCCATGTGTCATGGGTTAGGGAGTATCCCTCTATGTGGAATGTGCTCCCAAATCCACACCTACACTAGGGATGAGTACTGAACTACTACAGGAGGTTCTGTAGATCTCTGATGTCTCCTCATTGAAACTTGTGTTCCTAGGGTCTGGATCAGTCCCATGCTGGTATGCCAGATATCAGTCAGGGGAGCTAGAGCTCCACATTGTTCAGGTCAGCTGTTTCTGTGGGTTTCACCAGCCTCTTCTGGACCCCTTTTCTCATCATTTTCCTTCTCTGTAACTGGATTCCAGTTCAGTTCAGTGATTATTTGTGGGTGTCTGCTTCTACTTCCACCAGCTGCTGGGTGAAAGCTATAGGATGGCATATATGTCAGTCATCAATATCATTATCAGGGGAGGGCATTTAAAGTAGCCTCTCCTCTGCTGCTTAGATTGTTAGCTGATGTCATTTTTGTAGATCTGCAGACATTTCCCTAGTGACTGAATGTCTGTAAACCTAAAATGTTTCCCTCTATTATGATATTTCTTTCTTGTTTTCTCCTGTTCTTCTCCAGACTCAACCTTTCTGCTCCCTCATGTCCTCTTTTCCCCTCCTCTTCTCCCCTTCTCATTCTCCTAGCTCCCTTCCCCTCCCTCATGCTCCCAATTTGCTCAGGACTACCAGTCCACAATCCACACTGCCAGAGAAGCTAGTAAACAAGGAGGACCTTAAG